GCCTTAGGGAGCACATTCGTAAGGGGTTAATTTTAGATCGCCCTGAGTATAGAATTATCCCACTGGACACTCTTTTGTTGGTAGCCAAAGGCTTGGAATCTGTTTTGCAACCCACACAGCGAAGAACTAATCCTTTGATGTACACTACCTCCACTCCTATTGCAGGTTCTAACCAAGTTCCTCATTTACCCCTCCAACAGTACAACCAGCCACCCCAGACACTGCCTGCACCAGTTCCCTTTCCCAGAGACCGGACTATCACAACAATCCGAACCTGTTTTAATTGTAATCAACCAGGCCACTTTAGAAGAGATTGCCCACACCCAAGAGTGTTCCGTCAGCAGACTTCCCGGTACCCAAGTCCCCATGTCACCGGCTATAACTTCCCTTCCACTGGTTACCTCCCCGCCCTGCCCCATCCACAGTTGCCTCAACTTCCTCCTCCTCCTGAATATACCCAAGCCCGGCTCCCTGCATCAGAAGCTCGTGCATACACTTCGCCTTCTGCTGAAGGGTATGATAACGATGATTTCCAAGACAGTCAGCCACAGCCCCGCCACGCCATCCCACCCCCCCATGCATTCTACTAACCCTCCTTCCACTTCCCGCCGGTACCAGGGACCAGACCAGGCCCATCTAGATTTATTACAATAGGTAACTGGCAAGCCTGTGCCAGCAACCCCTGCCATGGCAGTGTCTGCGGGGGATGGGGGAGGGCCTTTAGCTACTGTAGTTCTCCCCGTGGAGGGTCACCCAACCACCTTTCTAGTTGACACAGGTGCAGCCCGTAGTGTCCTTAGGGAACAAGACCTGCCAGACCCTTCCTTTTTATCTGACACCGATGTCTCCTGTGTTGGGGTGGATGGTACACCACGCAGTAACCCCCTTACTAAGCTCCTACACGTAGGATCACACATCCTCTCCCGCTTTGTTGTTTCCTCTACCTGCCCCATTAACCTCCTAGGTGCCGATGTCCTCTCTCGGCTCCAGGCTTCTATTACCTTCACTGCAGATGGCCAAGTTGAGTTGACAACCCCCTTATCACAAAAAGATACCTCTGTACTCTGTTCCCTCCCCATCTTGTTGAACCTAACTGACAATACAGGGAATGCACGGGTCACACACACCCCCAGTGCTCTGGATCGTATTCCTCACGAACTTTGGTCCACTGGCCCGGATGATATTGGACGCCTACATGTACCCCCAGTCTTGGTCCAGCTCTTGCCTGGAGCACTACCTCCTCGCAGACCGCAGTATCCTCTGAAGCCAGCACAGGCTGAAGCCATCACCAAACAAGTTGAAAGTTTACTTGCCAAAGGTGCCCTCATCAAATGCACATCTCCATGTAACACACCTCTTTTTCCTGTTAAAAAGCGAACTGTTAAGGGTCAGCCTGACCAGTACCGCATGGTGCAGGACCTCCGTGCTGTTAATGAAGTAACCATAAAGGACACTGCTATTGTTCCAAACCCTCATACCCTCTTGTCCCAAGTCCCACCAACTTCAACAATATTCACTGTAGTGGATCTAGCTAATGCCTTTTTCAGTGTTCCCCTTGACCCTTCCTGCCGCTTTCTCCTCGCCTTCACACATGAAGGACAACAATATACCTGGACTGTCATGCCTCAGGGAGCTCAGAATTCTCCCACACAGTTTGCTCATGCCATGTCTCTGGTTCTGGATCCTTGGCAGAAATCTCATTTGGATGTTGTTTTACTTCAATATGTTGATGATCTCCTTCTCTGTGCTCCTGATTTACCCATTGCAGAGCGTGACTCAGAAGATCTCCTATGTTTCCTCGCTGCAGCTGGTTGCAAAGCTTCAAAATCAAAGCTACAATGGTGCCGGCCCTCTGTGGTCTTCTTGGGACATTGCCTTTCCCATGGCACCAAACATCTAACCTCTCAACGTGTGCAAGCTATTCTGCAACTCCCTTTACCTGCGACACATCAGACTCTTCATGCTTTTTTGGGTCTTATCACATACTGCAGGTCCTGGATACCCGAAGCATCAAAGCTCATGCAGCCACTCTATGATGCACTCAGGAGTGAGCCCTTTCACCTCACTGAAGAAACTATCACCTGTTTCCACAATCTGAAAAGAGCTATTGCTTCTGCACCTGCTTTGGGCCTACCCAACTACCAACTCCCTTTTAATTTGTTTGTCTCTGAGAAGTCAGGACATGCTTCCGGAGTCCTTACCCAGAAACATGGGTCAAGACAACGACCTATTGGCTATTTTTCATGCATGCTTGACCCTGTTGCGAGAGGTAGCCCCTCTTGCCTCAGAGCGGTGTTCGCCGCCAGCGCCCTCCTGGACAAGACCAATGATTTTGTTCTTGGCCATCACCTCACGGTGTTGGCCCCTCATGACATTACTGTAATCCTACAACAAATTCAACCTAAACACCTTTCCTCCCAGCGCCATCTTCGCCTACAGACCTCCTTACTCCTACCTTACAATGTGAAACTCCAGAGATGCCTTTCCCTGAACCCAGCCACTCTTCTGCCACTTCCCAAGGGGGGAATTGTGCATCATTGGTATAGCTTAGATATCAACCCAGAGGTTCGAGCAGACTTGCAGTTGCCTGCACTTGCACCTCCACATGATGAACAATCAGAGGCCCTACTTCACTGTACCTTGTGGTTTAAGGACGTACCAAGCCCTGATATGAACTATGAGGAAGAACTATTCCAGCTCAAAGAAATTCAAATTACCCTGACTGACTTATTTTGGGACCCCACAGGTACCATGCTTATCTTAGTCCACCTTCCAGAGAATGTAACACATCTCTATCACCATTGGGAAACAGCTATCCCACACATCTCTCACCAGATCCCTCAACACCTCATGAAAAGACCTAGGCCCGATGGCCAAAACCTGGAGTCAAATGACCCAAGAACAACTGACTTCTACGGGGATCAACAAAAAGACTATTAATTACTGTAGAGCAGGGTACCCCAGGTACCACACAGAAGCCTATGAGGACCCATTCACCACAGACTGCGATCTTGTTGATATTCCCCATGATTGTTTCCAACAAATGAAAATGGAAACTACACACCTACCAACTGTCTATGAAGCTGCATTACTTAACCCGGATCAAACACTATTTGTGGATGGCTCAAGGTTTGCTGATGAACAGGGACAATATCATACTGGATATGCAGTCACCACAGGATGCCAAGTATTACAAGCAGCTGCCCTACAATCAACTAAATCCCTAAAACATGGGGCAGCCATTGCAGAACTGATGGATGCATTGGAACTTCCAGCAGAAGTGGCAGTATTGAAAGTAAAAGCCCACGGAAGATTAGACACAGAAGAAGCACGTGGCAACCACTTAGCTGATCAGGCAGCTAAAGAAGCAGCACGGCAAGGATGGGAAGTGGACAGAAGAGTGGCCACAGATACATTACCTATCTACACTATGCAGACATTGCCTACAGATCTCAGGCTCCTGAAGGAACAACAAGCTGCTGCTACTCCCCAGGAGAAACAAAGTTGGAAGAATAAAGGAGATGTACTCCATGATGATATTTACACCATCAATCTCAAGTTTTGCTTACCCAGAAGTATGTACTCAGCGGTGGTCCAATGGGCCCATGGGCCAGCCCACCTGTCGAAACTCCTGATGAACTCACTGATTGACAAGTATTTTGAAGCACCAGGCATTACTACCTTAACACAGAATTACTGTGAATCTTGTACTATATGTGCTAAATGCAATCCTGGAAAGATTATAAAGACTGCACCTAATCACCTAGCTAAACCGCAATACCCCTTTCAGAGGATTCAGATTGATCACATTCAGATGCCAAAGAGCGGACGTTATGAATATGCATTGGTTATAGTAGACATGTTTTCAGGATGGCCAGAGGCCTTCCCAGTGACTAATCTCACCGCGAGGACTACAGCCAAGTACCTTTTGACAGAAATTGTTTGCCGCTACGGGGTTCCAGAAGTAATTGAGAGTGACCAAGGGACCTCCTTCACTGCCTCGCTAACACGGGAAGTCTGGTCAGCACTGGGGGTGACCCTTGCATTCCACACACCATACCACCCACAGAGTAGCGGTAAGGTAGAACGCATGAATGGCACTTTGAAAGCCAGAATGCTTAAGATGTCACAAGAAACTAACATGCCCTGGCCTGAGAGTCTCCCATTAGCGTTGTTTAGTGTCAGATACACTCCCAGGGGAAAATACAGCCTGTCACCTTATGAGATTTTGTTTGGTACAGCACCCAGGTTAGGTTGCTACTTTCCCCAACAGCTTCAGATTCAGTCAGACGCTATGGTAGACTATGTGACTGCCCTCTCACATGCCTTGACCAAGATACAAGTGTTTTCTTCTATTCCAGATCCTGAGTCGAATACAGGTACAGACAAGCTGCTTCCGGGTGACTGGGTTATGGTCAAGAAGTTTCTCAGGAAACACACCCTAGAACCAAGATTTGATGGTCCTTATCAAGTGCTCCTGATTACAGCAACGTCAGTTAAACTAGCTGGGAAGAGTTCTTGGATACACGCTTCACATTGCAAAAAAGTGCCTGCTCCAGAAGAGGCTGATCCTGTTGAAATATGAATTTATTACATGTCTTGTGTTTTCTTATGTTGCTACACTTTGTCTGGGCCCAACAAGTGGCCATAACCAAAGATGATCATGTTTACACTTTCTGGTACAATTCTTCTAATACTGATGTAGCTATATACACCTTTGACTACTGTGACATAGTTACTTGTACATTTCCACAAACACAATATGCAGCCATATACAAGGACATACCTAACAAAAAGGATCCATACATTTGTGTGACTGGAGGAGTTTGGGGACACCATTGTAGTTCATGGAAAGCTGCCGGGTGGAACACAGGTAGACCATGGGGCTACAGACCTCAAGTTGCACTGGACAGACTTGACAAAGACGGGAAGCCCTTACTTTCTAGAATGACACTGAGTAAACCCATAGGATCAACTCCCATTAAACTTACCCTGAATATAGAACACCCTAGCCCAAGGGATGCAGGGGAATATGTGATGGGAATGTACTGGAAGGGAGGTGGCTCACATAATGCATTGGGGACATTTTACCTACAAGATATGCTTAACTCCTCAGACTGGGTAGGGACTACACATATGGTCATTAACCCATTGAAACCACACATGAAGACCCTACATGACATGGTAGCTATAGCTAACCCCACCTTTGAGGATACCATGGCAGTAGAAACTGGGTTTTCAGACACCAATTTGTGGCTAGAGTGGATGAGGTATAATGCTAACTCGCATAATAAGACTAACTTATGTATGTGGAGGAGCCAGACCCCATCTGGGCACAGTACCTCTGAGCTTACCTCCTGAAGTAGAATCATGTGTACTGAGTTTGTATGCACAATCCACCACTAACTCCTCAACATGTGAATCTTGGAAGAAAGTTTACCCAATCACCCATGGACATGTGAAACCACCTGATGGAGTCACCATCTACCCAGGTAATTACACATGCTATTCAATACCTAAGAACACTGGGTTGTATCTGGGCAAATTCCCATCAGGATACTGCTCAACTTACCATAATCCACCTGCATCACTGCTAATGAACCATGGTGGATGAATGAACCACACAAAGACAATCGGGTATATCTATTGGTTATGTGGTGACAAACAATTGAGGTCCCAATTAACTGGGCAATGGTGGGGGGAGTGTGCCCTAACCAAAGTCATAATGCCTATCCACATTATTCCAGATGGTAGTCATAACACGTTAAATCTTACACATGTACACTCTAGAACCAAACGACAGGCTCCTATCCGAGGGAGCTTCGACCCCCATGTGTATATTGATGCCATAGGTGTGCCAAGGGGGGTGCCTAACGAATTCAAAGCAAGAGATGAAGTGGCTGCAGGATTTGAATCCCTAATTCCAATGATAACTGCCAATAAAAATGTCAATTGGATCAACTACATCTATTATAATCAGCAGCGCTTTGTTAACTACACAAGGGACACCCTACAGGGCCTAGCAGAACAGTTACAAGCCACTACTCAAATGACATTTCAGAACAGAATGGCCCTAGATATGATTTTAGCTGAGAAAGGGGGAGTATGTAAAATCCTCCCTGAGACCATGACATGCTGCACATACATTCCAGACATCACTGGGCCCAATGGTAAGGTGACTATGGCCATAGAGAAGCTAGATAGTCTTGCAGACGAGCTAAAGAAGAATTCAGGAGTCACTGACACGTGGGACAGATGGTTTGGGTGGATGAATGGTTGGCAAAGGACCCTCTTCCAGGTGGGAACAGCTGTTCTTATAATGATCATCATCTTCTTATTTTTAACCTGTTGCATACTCCCTTGCATACAGAAGTACTTACAGAAAGCGGTAGATAAGACTGTAGATGACGTAACCCCTACTTTCCTACATCAAGATATCACAGACCTTGAAGATGACACTCCACATACACCCCTACAATCACATCAGTTCAAACAGACGACTGCTTTCCTGTAGGGATAGTGTAGGGAAAGCGTCTGTCTTAACAGGTGAGTCTCACGTGTGGAGATGTGGTGGACTAGCCACTGCGGGTTACCCGCGGAGTGAAGTGTTCGATGCTTGTTAAGACAGATAGGTTGCAGGCAACTAGGGACATATTAGGGACAGTAGCAGTTGTTATGGTAAATAGCCATTTTAGGGGGGACTGTTGTGGAAATAAGGTCTGCACATATTTCCTAATTAGAGAAAATGTCTATTTACTCATTTCACGATATATCACATATAAAGCTAAACACACATATTCTAATCAAGATGGCTGCTAGAAGCTTCTAACCCCTCCTTTCCCCCCCTCCTTTTCCCCCCCTTAACATCGACTAACTACCTCGTGCAGCAAGATGGCGCCGGGAAACCGTGGGAGACCCTCATGGCCCCGGTGACATCACCTACAGTAGGCAGAGCATTAGAGCAACCACTTAACACCTAACCAATTATTGATGTATTATTCCATGTTATCTCTGACAATGCTTATGATGTAATTGTGCTTTAAAAGGGACCTGCCGTCCCCTCTGAATGAACTTTCCTCAAGTTATTCAACAACCTGGAACCTGTGTCTGGTGTGAATTACTTCAGGGAGCGTGCACGCATTGTTTCACTGATTTGGCCAGGGGCAGATACACAAAGAAATAATCAATACTTTGATTGATTTTTCCATTTCAATACTCCTGTCATACTGCCTGATAGGATAATCACTACTACTATTCTTTCTCTTTCATCGTCTATCCTACAGGTTATACAAACCAAACAAAACAAGGCACAAGGGAGAAACCTGCTGATAGGTTATGTGTTGCTCTCACTGAAAGATGAGACATTATGTCACTCTGTCGTGATACTAAGACAGCCGGGCATCCTGGTATCTCTAAAACTGTAATTGCAGTTTCACTGAACTTTTGGTGGCCCTCTATGTGCCAGGACATAACCGATTTTGTACAAGCATGTGTCACTTGTGCCAGTATGAAGTCCTCACATAGGGTTTCTTGTGGGTTGTTACAACCTTTACCTATACCCGAGAGACCTTGGTCTAATCTGCCATTGATTTTATTGTTGAACTTTGTCCTTCCAATGGTAAAACGGTCATCCAAATGATCGTTGATAGATTCTTTAATATAGCTCATTTTGTGTCACTTGTTAAATTGCCTTTCTCAAAAGATTTGGCTGCTATATTCACCAGGGAGGTGTTTAGATTAGACATGGTATACCTGATTCTATAGTGATTGATAGGAGTAGTCAGTTAATTATCTGGTTCTGGAGAGCCTTTTGTTCAGAGATGGGTATTTGTCTATCCTTTTCTTCTGCCTACCACCCCCAGTCTAATGGATCTGCTGAACGTGCCAACCAGTCCCTAGAGCAATACATTTGCTGTTTTTTGTTTCACCATCAGAATGATTGGGCTGTCCTGCTCCCTTGGGCTTAATTTGCTTGTAATAACGCTGCTCATGAGTCTACTGGTAACAGTCCTTTTAAAGTTGTTTATGGCCATCATCCTGTTGTTCTCTCAAATGCATTCTCTTTGCTGGGTTTGTGTAAAACTTTGGAATAGGTTCAGCGTTCCTTGGTGGATTCTGCTGCTTGTCAAAAGGTACAGGCAGCTCCCTCCTATGTTGTGGGGGAAAGGGTTTGGCTTTCTACTCATAATATCCGTCTCTGAGTTCCTTATATGAAATTGGCTCCCTGCTGTATTGGTCCTTGTAACAACAAGCCCAGTATGCCTGCAAAAGACAAATGGATTATACAGCCGTTCGGTATTTTTGTAAGCATTCACCATGCGAATGCTTACCTGCCTTAACAGGCCACCCTGACTGCTAATTATGGCCAATTTACCTCCGTGGTTGATGGGCACTTTATTCGAATCAACCGCACGAACGCTATGGGAACTGTAAGCTCAGCCGCCATTTCGGGACTTACATGTGTTCGCGGCCATTTTAAATCCCGAACAGCGGTGTTTGCCAATGAATGTCTGGAACTAAAATCGGACACTCAAACAGGCGAACACCGCTGAGACCTCCATACCTTCGGGAAAGTATCACCAAATCTACCAAACGACCGGGCGTTCGGTAGAAAGGATTAACAGCAGATGGGGATTTCAGCGAACCCAGGATGGTATACGGATGGCCGGCCGTTCAGGAGTTTTTACCCACGTTCTCAGACCGACTGCAGGGCCAGCATTCGTGGAACTGTTTTCAGCTACTGTACCCGTGCAGTCGGTCAAAACTTCTAAGTCCTATATCTCCCGAACGGCTGAACCGATTGAGCTGATTTTTTTATATGTTGGTACCTGAAATATAAGCTGAGTATTTGGGGTACATCCAAACTTTGGGGAAAAACTGTTCCTTTTTAATTATGTTATGTGGTTATCTGAGGGGAGGGAATTTACCGAATGTATATTGTATGGATTGGTTATACTGCTAATTATGTGGGTGTCTCCCTTGCATGGGCAGAATCTCATAAAAGCAGAGTGTGTGCCATTAAACATCAGTTCTTCTTGACCGTTCAAAACGTAGCCTCGTCTCGTTCTTGAAAGGGGAATCTCTGCAGCTTAATCACTTAGCTCTTTTCAGAGCTGCACCTGGCTTCCACTCTTGATCCAGCAGAAAGGAATAGGCGATTCCACCACTATACAGCGACTGCCAGGAAGAAAAGGACGTCCCTAATGGCTGGTACTCTCTCTACACCAGGGTAGCCGTTACAGTCCTTTCCGCATCTTGCATAAAGTTAATCACGTTTCTTATGCCTTGGACCTTCCGAGGAACATGCGTATACCCGATGTGTTTCACAACTCCTTGTTGAAGCCTCTTCTTTGTAACCGGTTCACCAGGTCTGTTTCTCCCCCTCCTCCTGTCTCTATTGAGGGCTTTACTCACGTCTCCTTAGGGGTCATCTTCAATACTTGGTGCATTGGAAAGGGTATGGCCTGGAGGAACGCAGTTGGGTTTCCGCGGCTGATGTTCATGCCCATCGCCTTCTGCGTGCATTCCATTCCCGCTTTCCTGCCAAGCCTGGTTCATCCCGCCCAGTGGGCATGTCTTCTTAGGGTGTACTGTGGTGGCTCTACCAGTCCTGCTTCCACACGAGCCACGCACGGATCAATCTTCCCTTCTGAGTGGGCAACGTGCACTGAACGCAATAAGTGGTCACATGGCCATCTTGACACTAGGAGCATGGCTCGCGTCACGAGCACGCTCATTAATGGGCAGTGGGAGCCAAAAGTAGATTCAGGCTCCCATTGGCTCACGTCATTCCAACGCCTGCAAGTTTTTGGGGGTGGGCATGATGTGGGCCAATCAAATGTTAGTTATGGATATTTACACTTCCCTAGCCCTATCGTGGTTTCTGTTTCAGTACCCTTTAGTGCGTTCCTTGATCTATCGTGTTTTTTCTGATATTGACCTTGGCTTTGATGGTATTTACTGTCCTGACAGGAATAATTGTGCCCATCTGCAACCATGCGCCCAAATACCTGATAAACCCAGCATGTCTAGGGATGCCCGCCCTGCAGATCTATGTCACTTTATAGCCCCATGGCCGCCCAAGTTGATGACGACATCGTCGTGTGTATGACGTCACACGCGCGCATGTTTTGGGGTCAAAGGCTGGTTACAACCATTTGGAATAACAGTAGGGTTATTTATACTAACTTTTACATTCTCTCATTGCCCCATTGTGGTTTCTGCCTGAAGGTAATCCGAGAGTGCGTTCCTGATCTTGATATTTTAGTATTTGACTTTGGCTTCATTCTTACTTCCCAGATTTTTGGTATCCTTGACTTTTGGCTTTTTTCTCATTGTTGTGTCTGATTCTGTATCCCTGACCTCAGCTAGTATTCTGACTATTCTTGGATATGTTAAGTCTGACCATCCTAAGGTTCAGTTAGACATTATCTTCAGGCCTGACACAATTCTATGTGCTGGATCACTTAGTAATCCTGACAGTATCTGACTCTGTAGTTATGAAAGAATAGAAAAGAGCTGAGTGCCCTAATGAAATTAAAATATAACCTTTAATAGTATAATTAAAATATATAAATAGGAACCCAGGGGTGAGTTGATAGTCAAAAATTCTAAATATATTATACAAGGCTGAAAAATTGATAATTGATAATGTGAACAATTTATACACATACCAAAGTCTATGCTACATACCATATGATTATGGCTATCCTGTATCACTGCAAAATTGCCTGTTGCAGATAGCATTTAGTGGAGGACACTGAAAACTTTTGAACAGTACCTCCTTATTGATTACGACCATGCTGAGTTACATCTCATTTATTTTGAGGCATTATTATACAACAGTGGAGGTCTTACCCTTTGAGCGACTACCTGCATTCCTTGTTATCTCTTGCCTGGAGCTTTTTCACTAGACTTGCAAACATATACTGTAGCCACAATCCAAGTGTTAACTTTTGCTACTTTTGTATCAACTTTCACAACAGGGATATTTGTTACAATTAGCTCCACACTTTGTATCAAGTCCATAGGTAGTAGCTTACACCCAGTACTTTTACCTACTAGGCATATAATTTTTTAGACTTTGGTATGTGTATACATTGTTCACATGATCAATTTTTCAGCCTTGTGTAATATATTTAGAATCTTTGAGTATCAACTCACCCCAGGGTACCTATTTATCTATTTTAACTATACTATTAAACATTATATTTTTATTTCATTAGGGCACTCAGCTCTTTTCTCTTTTTTCTTCACTACTTTGGTAGTTTACTATGGGTTATACCCTATATGAGTGCATTTCCTAAGCTTCCATTTCACTATTTTTGCTCTTCTGACTCTGTAGTTATCTTCAACCTTTCCTGTCTTGTTTGCCTATCTGACTGTTTACTTTGACCTCGGCTCGTCTTTGATTTCGCTTTTTCTCTGTCTAACGTTTAGTCCGGCCATTCTAAGGCCCGGTAATACGTTATTTCCTAGTTTTGTTCCTTGCTATGCTAAATTCTCTGTGTTGGGGTATTACACCATGACAGGAACATGGTGATGGAAACTTGCAGGTCAGAGTTGGTAATCCTTTACGGGTAAGTTTCACATTAGCGAGAACCAGTCAGGTTCATTGTGATGAACACCTGAGTCTGGACCCAAGTTAGGAATGGGTAGACTGAAATAGTCAGAAGTGGATGAGCATAGTGATTAAAAGGCCAGGTCCATTGGGGCCA